AACCCCCCCCTAACTTTGTGAGCAAATCAAAGTATTTTTGCGACATTTTAGTTTTACTGGACTGTGAATTTGCTGTAAAATTAATCACACTTTAAAGCTATTTCGTCTTCCTAAACCGAGTTTATTAAAGTTTCCCTTTGAGCAGTAACATTGTTGTAAAAGGTTTCAGAGACAATACAACAAAGCAGGCCGATCGATCGATATTCATTAGGAGTAGATCTCGATCCAGATCGAAGGGTAACTTTAGAGTCATTTTCCGAAGAAAAAAAAATTGTTTCCGCACCCTACCTGACAAAGTTAACCGTATCTCGCAAAGTGCTGAAGCTATCTTAACATTTTTCAATCAGGTTTTTCAGCAATGATTTTTGTACTAGAAATGTTTCTCGGGCCTATGGGCTAGAACTCAGAGGGTCGCTGGATTGGAAACGTAAAGTAAAACAAAAGTAAAGTACCAGAAAAGCAAAATAACATGTAATTCCTCAAAATGTGCCATGTACGGGGCACGCACACATTTCTTAACAAAGATGACAAGAAAATGTTGCTTATTCACGGTCCGGTGAAAAACTTTTTTCTGAATTATTAAAACAAAAAAGAATAACATGTTCAGTTTCAAACTTTGGAACATCTTGATGAATTTTACCTTTAAAAAAAGGTTTCCCTAAAAAGCCTTTCTTCTCTTAAGTTGGGAGACGCCTTTATTTGTTAGTCATTGGCAACAGTTAAACAGCTGACGTGTGCTTGTTTTGTGGATGTTATAAAGAACTTAATAATCTTATTATTATTTTCACATTATTTATTATCTCACTGTTTGGTGTTTGTTGATTCAAGCGTTTTTCATAACTTTTTTTGCTTGTGGAAACCCTTCGAGCTGTCAGTTATTAATTAGGTTAAAGACTAGCACAACTTTAAAAAAATGAATTGGCCAAGTCTACCTAAATTCATGGATAAAGGGACCTTGAAACGTTTTAAAAAAAAATCATATTTTACTTAGTTTCAATACGCCCATATGTGAAACGTTAAAAGACAAGCCATATCAAATCACTTACAATTGTACAATTTGCATGCGTGTCCACCATAAATCTTTGCATTTTTAATCGTTATTTATAACAATTAAAATCAAATATTGAAACGCAGCGAAGTTTAGTGACAGTGCGTGAAAATAATGGTTAAGGTGAGGCTGGTCAGGATCTGTAGATATCACCTATAATTAGTGCCAAAGTATGTTGACTTTGAACTCCATTATTGCATACTTACCGTTGGTTGATTATTATTTTTAATTCACTGGAAGGTACCACATGGCGTTAGCAGCTTTTTACATGTCTTATCTCCCAAACAAAAACCTGAGGATTCTGGAGTCAAAGTCATGTTTGTATTGACACTAGTACTATTCATGCATTGTTCTGGCACTTGCCACAACACGCAAATGACGTGCTCCGTTCTCGTTTAAATTTTAGCTACATCATTGTTTTCAGCTCTCTGGCCAGGACAAGGCACTCAACATTTTAACAACGTCACAATGTAAATTGGGGCTTACATAATTTGATGATTGATGTGGTCGGCCACGCACAAAAAACTTCAGAATCTGGTCTCTCTAAGTACAGAGAGCAGAAAAGGGGTATATTATTCACGCCTCTCAGAACAGCATGCGGCAGAGTGAAGCTAGAACAGGTTAGATCAAATGAAATGATTAGACAATCAAATACTAACAAATAGATCTAACGATTTTTATTCACATTTTCCTATTGTTTCCTCTTAGAATTGAAATATCTTAGCACATACATATTTACATTCTCAAAGTAAATGGTTGTTTGATACGAAGAAGATCATTAACATGGTATCCAAAAATAGATGAAAAATAACCATGATGTTCCAAAAATACTTTCTTTGGTTCTTTGTTTCTTTTTTCTTTGAAACAGATTCCGAATGCATTTTCGCTAATGATAAAATCGACGATGTTGTCAAGACTCCCGTGTGGTATACATGTTCTTATACTCACCATTGCTCTGTTAAGCCATGGGTCCACTAGCTCAAAACTTGACAGACGTAGCCAATCTCACACAATCAGACACATGAACATTGATGAGGACCAGGCACAGTTCACCGACTTCCCGTTCCGGGACACCAGCTTGCCGTGGAGTGAACGCGTGGACGATCTCGTGTCCAGACTGACTCTGGAAGAGATTCAGGTACAGATGTCTAGAGGAGGGGCTGGAGATTTTGGAGGTCCAGCCCCGCCTATTCCAAGATTGGGCATTGGGGCATATAACTGGGACACAGAATGTTTACGAGGTGATGTGGGAGCTGTAGAGAATGCAACGGGTTTCCCTCAAGCAATTGGTTTGGCTGCCACTTTCAGCCAGGATATTCTGTACAACGTTGCCAAAGCGACAGGTCAAGAAGTGAGAGCCAAATATAACGACTTCGTCAAAAGGGGAATTTTTGCCACCCACACAAGTGCCAGTTGTTTCAGTCCGGTCATCAATATCTTAAGAGATCCCAG